TTTTGTCCCCCATCACTTTATATAAAGGAACTATACAAGCTCTCTGCCAATCCCTAAGTACCTTCCCCTCTTTCATACATTTACTAAACAGAAATACCAACTACAGTGGACCCCCGGTTAACGATATTTTTTTCTCTCCAGAAGTACGTTCAGGTGCCAGTACTGACCGAATTTGTTCCCATAAGGAATATTGTGAAGTAGATTAGTCCATTTCAGACCCCCAAACATACACGTACAAACGCACTTACATAAATACACTTACATAATTGGTCGCATTCAGAGGTGATCGTTATGTGGGGGTCCACTGTACTCCAACACTATAGAACCCCTCCCCCCTGCTTTTAACATTTGTCATGATCCCGTCAGTTCCAGCTGCTTTACCCCCCTTTCATTCTACGTAATGCCTCAAGCACCTCCCCCATACTCACATTCTTCACTCCTAAAAGATGTTATACCTCCCTGACCGGTGCATGAAATTACCGCCTCCCTTACTTCAGCGACATTTAAAAGTTCCTCAAAATATTCCCACCATCTACCCAATACCTCCAGCTCCCCATCTACTGACTCCCCTACTCTGTTTTTAACTGAAAAATCCATTTGTTCCCTAGGCATTCTTAACTTGTTTATCTCTAAAAAAAATTCTTATTTTCATCAAAATTTCTTGACAGTGCCTCTCCCACTCTCTCATCTGCTCTCCTTTTGCACTCTCTCACCACTCTCTTCACCTTTCTTTTACTCTCCATATACTCTGCTCTTCTTATATCACTTCTGCTTTGTAAAAAAATTTTCATAAGCTACCTTTTTCTCTTTTATCACACCCTTGACTTCATCATTCCACCAATCACTCCTCTTTCCTCCTGCACCCAGCCTCCTATAGCCACAAACTTCTGCCCCACATTCTTATACTGTATTTTTAAAACTATTCCAACCCTCTTTAACCTTCCCCACTACTCATACTTGCACCAGCCTACCTTTCTGCCAATAATTGCTTGTATCTCACCCTAACTTCCTCCTCCCTTAGTTTATACACTTTCACCTCTCTCTCACTTCTTGTTGCCATTTTCCTTTTGTCCCATCTACCTCTTACTTGAACTGTACCTATAACTAAATAATGATCCGATATAACAGTTGCCCCTCTATAAACATGTACAGTAAGGCCCCACCTATTCGGCAGGTTAGGTTCCAGGCTACTGCCAGAAAGCAGACTTCGCCGGAAAGCAGAACTCCATTTTTTCCATTTATAAATGCATATAAATGCCAGGTAAGTTTACAATAACATATATTTAGTTAGCAATAGAACTAGGCATTAAAAAGTAAAATACACACACAGTACATTCATTATTTACTTCAAAATATTTGTAGTCTTAATGTAGGACAAAAGGCGAGTAGTATTTACTCAGGTGTGGTAGCCCTCCTGACCACCCCACCCACACATACTATACTACAATGCTTAAAGCTCCCTAGAGTGATAAAATGCATATACAGTACACACATTACTTACCTTAAAATATTTGTAGTCTTAATGGCCTTAATGTAGGATGAGAGGTGAAAAGTATTTATTTGTAGGAAGTCATGTGGGAGGCATGGCATCCTGCCTGGCCACTCCCACCTACAACATTAAGCTTCCTTGAGCGATAAAATGCACATATAGCACACTCATTAATTACTTTAAAACATTTGTAATCTTAATGTAGGGCGAGAGGTGAGTTTTATTTGCATGAAGTAAAGTTGGGAAGTATGGGCAGCCAGGAAGGACAGCCCTCCCCACCTACAAGAACTGTAAACAAACCAGACGAACGTGTCTAGGTTTGGTCACTTTACATTGTGTACAAGTTGTCTCCACGTTGATATAGTAGAATAAATAAAGAGAAACACTCCCATTCTCATGTAACACCATTTTTAGAAGAAATGACACCCTAAGTGAAGGCATACGAAGGGAATAAATTTTTAGTTACCCCCAGTAATATTATAGTGACACATTTTCTCTGATGTTGGACTACAAGTTGTCTGGCTGCCACAAGTCCCACAAGTTGCCTGGCTACCACAAGTCCTACAAGTTGCCTGGCTACCACAAGTCCTACAAGTTGCCTGACTACCACAAGTCCTACAAGTTGCCTGGCTACCTCAAGTCCTACAAGTCGCCTGGCTACCACAAGTCCTACAAGTCACCTGGCTACCACATCTCATTTTTTTGTTTTCAACAAGTCGGCCGTCTCCCACCGAGGCAGGGTGACCCAAAAAGAAAGAAAATCCCCAAAAAGAAAATACTTTCATCATCATTCAACTCTTTCGCCTCACTCACACATAATCACTGTTTTTGCAAAGGTGCTCAGAACACAACATTTAGAAGCATATACGTATAAAGATAAACACCATATCCCTCCAAACTGCTAATATCCCAAAACCCTTCCTTTAGAGTACAGGCATTGTACTTCCCATTTCCAGGACTCAAGTCCGGCTATATAAAAATAACTGGTTTCCCTGAATCCCTTCACTAAATATTACCCTGCTCACACTCGAACAGATCGTCAGGTCCCAAATACCATTTATCTCCATTCACTCCTATCGAACACGCTCATGCACGCCTGCTGGAAGTCCAAGCCCCTCGCCCACAAAACCTCCCTTACCCCTTCCTTCCAACCTTTTCGAGGACGACCCCTACCCTGCCTTCCTTCTCCTACAGATTTAAATGCTCTCCATGTCATTCTACTTTGATCCATTCTCTCTAAATGACCAAACCACCTCAACAACCCCTCTTCAGCCCTCTGACTAATACTTTTATTAACTCCACACCTTCTCCTAATTTCCACACTCCGAATTTTCTGCATAATATTTACACCACACACTGCCCTTAGACAGGACATCTCCACTGCCTCCAACCATCTCCTCGCTGCTGCATTCACAACCCAAGCTTCACACCCATATAAGAGTGTTGGTACTACTATACTTTCATACATTCCCTTCTTTCCCTCCATAGGTAACGTTTTTTGACTCCACATACACCTCAATGCACCACTCACCTTTTTTCCCTCATCAATTCTATGATTAACTTCATCCTTCATAAATCCATCCGCTGACACGTCTCATATTTATGTTAATTTATTCTACTGTGGGGTGTATTTAGATGGATTAAGCAAAATGTCATTATTAATGTTTTATACAAAATTTTAATGCTCCTTAGAGTGATTATTGTCTTATTATTATTATTATCATCATTATTAATATGGTTCTTCAAGACTAATAAGACTAATGTGCCTGCATGCCAGCACAGTGTGTAAGTTTACTTAGGTATAGGTACACATACGTATAATTATCCATTATAATAATAATGTAGGCATGTAGTCTGCCTGAGCTACATACCTACACCAACCTACATAGCTACACGATATTTAATGTGGCCCAGAGCCATATTATTACCATCGACATACCATGTTCACTGAGTTTAATCGTTTCTATCAACTACCTTTAGATGCCATCATAAACAAATGGAGAAGTAATGAATAATTCATGGCGAGAATTGTAAACAAAAGCATTTATGTATTAAGGGGAGTGACGTAATGTCTGCCTTCCGCCCGGCTACTACACCTCCATAGTATATAAACAAATGTTTATATGTTATGTAACGTGTTTCTTACATAATTTTGAAGAAAATATAATAGATGGATTAATGAAAATGTCCATATTGACGTAAAATTAGACATTTAATGTGCCCAAGAGTGATTATTATTATATAATAGAGAGATGTGCTCATGGAGAATGTAAACAAACCGGGTGGCCCACGCTGTATTTGAAAGACCACTCGCCGTATAGAAAGCTCTGGTCATAATTTGAGATCGCCGTATTAGCAGAACGCCGTAAGGCGAAACACCGAAAAGCGGGGCCCTACTGTACATCCTGAAGCCTACCCATCAATCTTTTATCCACCAATACATATTCTTACAAATTACTTTCATTACGTGCTATATCATACCTTGTATACTTATTTATCCTCTCTTTCATAAAATATGTATTACTTATTACCAAACCTCTTTATACACAACTCAATTAAAGGCTCCCCATTTTCATTTACCCCTGGCACCCTAAATTTACCTACTACTCCCTCCACAACATTTTTACCCACTTTGGCATTGAAATCCCCAACCACAAATACTCTCACTTGCTTCAAAACTCCCCATGCACTCAATTCCCAAAATCTCTCTCTCTCCTCTACACTTCTCTCTTCTCCAGGTACATATATGTACATGTACTTGTAGTAAATAAAGATATTATATTATTATTATTATAAAAAATTACTTGCATAGTATAACCATCTATGGTAGTGTTAAAAAGTTTATGATAGTGAAATATGCTGGAACCTCCATGGGAACGTGGAGAAGAATCTTTCGTCCATAAGCCATGCATGTCGTAAGGGGCGACTAAAATGCCGAGAGCAAAAGGCTAGTAACCCCTTCTCCTGCTTAAACTGTTAAATGTAAAAAGAAGAGAAACTATTTTCTTCTTTTTTGGGTCACCCTGCCTTGGTGGGAGATGACTGATATGTTAAAAAAAAAATGCTGGAAATCCAGTATAGTAATGCACAGCAAGACGTATGTTCATTTGGCACTGACATTAAATCACAAGAGATTAAATACAGTGGACCCCCGGTTAACGAACTTTTTTCATTCCAGTAGTATGTTCAGGTGCCAGTACTGACCGAATTTTTTCCCATAAGGAATATTGTGAAGTAGATTAGTCCATTTCAGACCCCCAAACATACACGTACAAACGCACTTACATAAATACACTTACATAATTGGTCGCATTTGGAGGTGATCGTTAAGCGGGGGTCCACTGTACTTGTTTTAAAAGATTTATAGAATGTCATTCTTAACCAGAAAATCTTCTTAGGCATAAAAATTGCATCACAATAAAGTTAAAACTTGAAGGGCAGATAAATATACATGGAACATTTAAACACACCTTAAATCAAATCAACAAACATGTAAAATATCTTAGTTTACCTTCTCATAGATATTCTCATACATTGGCTCTTCAGTAATATTTTCATAGATATTTTCAGCACAGCCTGAGGAATCTTCATATGCACCACTAACTTGTTCATAATCACTGATAACCTGCATAAAAATTATTAAAACAATAAATATGGACATATACATATACAATAATGACAGACAACGGAAAGTTACAAAACAATTCAATACAAACAAGGCTAAAGGACAACAAATTGAAAATATATATATTAATAAACTAACCTCATTAATATCATCATCAGTGTACGGTTTGGCTCCTTCAAATGAATCATCTTCATGAGTTAAGGAAACAGGTGGGAGATCTGTGGGAGCCTTATGGATGGGAGAGCCCAATAGAGGAGTCTCCTCAAGTTTAGAAGCAAGTTCAAACACTTGGGCATTTACCTGTTTGAAAGGAATATGTAATGCTTAAATTTACCTGGCATTGGGAACCAATTTCAATACACTATAGATGCTAGACGAAAAACTTCCTATAAGTCATTGGAGTTGCATCTTCTCTCCTACCACCAGTAAATTTTCTTAAATATTATCTTTCAATTTAACAGTGTAATGAAGAAAACAAAGTCAATCCTGATTTAGTTTATCTATTATGTCTTACAATACTAATCTTATAACTATAGCTAAACTGGTATTTATTTTAGCACTAACAAAAAGTTCTAAACTAAAATAACATTACAAATCCTGTTAGAGTTGAACTCTAAGAGCTGCTAGAGTATGGTAATCCCAGCAGGTGCAAGGTGAAACTGAACTGATGACAAAAAAAAAAAAAAAAAAAAAAAAAAAACTCATGGAGTAACTAATCCAGTCCCATGAAGCATACAAAACAGGACATCAGAAGCATATGCTAAGCTGGCAAACCTAAGGTTGGCCCTCAGTAATCTAGATCTACAGGGCACTCCTCAACCCATGTGTGTGACAAATCTTCCAATATAGCATGCAAAATCAAATTGGAATCTTGATTAAGCCAAACACAAAACAAAACAGAGCTTCAGAAAGTCCAAGGTATACAGAACATCCACAATGGTAACTGAGCTAAGAGTCTCAGCTATTTGAAAACTGAAGTTGGTTGGTAGACAGCAACCATCCAAGAAAGAACTACTGTCCTGCAAATCAAGTGTTAAATGGAAACCTGAAATTGTTTTACACTCTAGTTGTTGTTTCCCTGTCTCAAACACATAAGATAACAGGTACATTCTGCTACTATTACTTATGCCTAATTCATAATACACATGAAGTTGTGCATGTATGTGTAAACATACTCAACTGAGTTTCCTGCTAATTTCTTAATGTGGTAGTTCTTGTCATTGTAGTGTTTCCTTCCATCTCCATGGGTAAAGAGGCAGAATGCTTTCTTTGTAAGCAATAAACGTCATTTAAACTTGACTAAAATGCCAGGAGCAAGGAGCTAATAATGTCTATGTATTAATTACTAAAATGCAAATGAAGGACTAAGCAATGAAAAACAGAATAAAAGACTGAAGGAAGGATGAAGGAAGTAAATGATTACAGATACCTGGGAGCAGACTTGTTGGCAGAAGGGTCTGTGAAAGATGAGGTGAACCATAGAGCCGACAAGGTAAATAAGGTTGAAGGAGAGCTGATTCGTCTGTGAAGACTAAAGATAAACATGGAGGCAAAAGGTAAACGTACCAGAGAGAGACGAGACAATAACAAAATCTTTGTCAATACCCTTACCAATACTCAATTTTTGGCCAACACCAATGGCATGGAAATTAGACATTACCAGCAGATACTGATACTAGTAAAGATACCGCCAAAATTAGCCAATACCCAACAATACCAATGTTAAATTTTGGGCTGACACCAATGCCACTAAAATTAGCCAATATCCTTCGATATCAATATTCTGGCACATCCTTAGTACCAGAGTACAGCAGTATCAACACTTATGTGGGTGCTAAGCTAGGGTTTTAAATGTTGCAGAGAGGAAAAGGCTAGAGACAGTGGAAATGTGTTTGAAGGTAATGTGTGGTGTGAATATTATGCAGAGAATCTGAAGCTTGGAGGTTGGAAAGTGTGGGGTTACTAAAACTATTATTGAAAGGGATGATGAGGGGTTGTTGAGATGGTTTGTATAATTGGAGAGGACTGGAGAAAATTTTTTTTTTATTTTTATTATCACATTGGCCTATTCCCACCAAGGCAGGGTGGCCCAAAAAAGAAAAACTTTCACCATCATTCACTCCATCACTGTCTTGCCAGAAGGGTGCTTTACACTACAGTTTTTAAACTGCAACATTAACACCCCTCCTTCAGAGTGCAGACACTGTACTTCCCATCTCCAGGACTCAAGTCCGGCCTGCCGGTTTCCCTGAACCCCTTCATAAATGTTACTTTGCTCACACTCCAACAGCACGTCAAGTATTAAAAACCATTTGTCTCCATTCACTCCTATCAAACATGCTCACGCATGCCTGCTGGAAGTCCAAGCCCCTCGCACACAAAACCTCCTTTACCCCCTCCCTCCAACCTTTCCTAGGCCAACCCCTACCTCGCCTTCCTTCCACTACAGACTGATACACTCTTGAAGTCATTCTGTTTCGCTCCATTCTCTCTACATGTCCGAACCACCTCAACAACCCTTCCTCAGCCCTCTGGACAACAGTTTTGGTAATCCCGCACCTCCTCCTAACTTCCAAACTACGAATTCTCTGCATTATATTCACACCACACATTGCCCTCAGACATGACATCTCCACTGCCTCCAGCCTTCTCCTCACTGCAACATTCATCACCCGTGCTTCACACCCATATATGAGCGTTGGTAAAACTATACTCTCATACATTCCCCTCTTTGCCTCCAAGGACAAAGTTCTTTGTCTCCACAGACTCCTAAGTGCACCACTCACCCTTTTCCCCTCATCAATTCTATGATTCACCTCATCTTTCATAGACCCATCCGCTGACACGTCCACTCCCAAATATCTGAATACATTCACCTCCTCCATACCCTCTCCCTCCAATCTGATATCCAATCTTTCATCACCTAATCTTTTTGTTATCCTCATAACCTTAATCTTTCCTGTATTCACTTTTAATTTTCTTCTTTTGCATACCCTACCAAATTCATCCACCAATCTCTGCAATTTCTCTTCAGAATCACCAAAGAGCACAGTGTCATCAGCAAAGAGCAACTGTGACAACTCCCACTTTATGTGTGATTATCTTTTAACTCCACGCCTCTTGCCAAGACCCTCGCATTTACTTCTCTTACAACCCCATCTATAAATATATTAAACAACCACGGTGACATCACACATTCTTGTCTAAGGCCTACTTTTACTGGGAAATAATTTCCCACTTTCCTACATACTCTAACTTGAGCCTCACTATCCTCGTAAAAACTCTTCACTGCTTTCAGTAACCTACCTCTTACACCATACACCTGCAACATCTGCCACATTGCCCCCCTATCCACCCTGTCATACGCCTTTTCCATAAATGCCACAAAGACCTCTTTAGCCTTATCTAAATACTGTTCACTTATATGTTTCACTGTAAACACCTGGTCCACACACCCCCTACCTTTCCTAAAGCCTCCTTGTTCATGCTTTAGGAAAGAAAGGGTACACATAATTTAAAAAGTCTGTTACATCGAGGACTGATATATTAAGGATTTACTCTATTAAATAAACAATTTAGGTAACAACTAACCCACCATGTAACCTCTTCAAATTAATTTCACTTTTAATCACCTCATGTCATGTTCGTATATTTTAATACGTACATTAGTTTCAACATCCTTATAGCACAGTGGGACCGTGGTTTTCACAGACTTAGCAGTCATAGCAACCTTTCAAAAATAATTCCTACATATACAAAGGTTCTACGTAGTAGGTTGGTAGACAGCAACCGTCCAGGGAGGTACTACCATCCTGCCAAGTGAGTGTAAAACGAAAGCCTGTAATTGTTTTACATGATGGTAGGATTGCTGGTGTCCATTTTTCTGTCTCATAAACATGCAAGGTTTCAGGTACATCTTGCTACTTCTACTTACACTTAGGTCACACTACACATACATGTACAAGCATATATATACAAATCCCTCTGGGTTTTCTTCTATTTTCTTACTAGTTCTTGTTTATTTCCTCTTATCTCCATGAGGAAGTGGAACAATTCTTCCTCCATAAGATATGCGTGTTGTAAGAGGCGACTAAAATGCCAGGAGCAAGGGGCTAGTAACCCCTTCTCCTGTATATATTACTAAATTTAAAAGGAGAAACTTTCATTTTTCCTTTTGGGCCACCTCGCCTCGGTGGGATATGGCTGGTGCGTCGGAAGAAAGAAAAGAAAAAGAGAAACTTTCGTTTTTGTTTTTGGGCCACCCTGCCTCCGTGGGATACGGCTGGTTTGTTGAAAGAAAGATATACAAAGGTCCCTCTTCAGTCTGCTTAAGAGGGGCTGTTGAGGTGGTTTGGTCATGTAGAGAGAATAGAACAAAGGAGAATGACTTGGAGAGCGTATAAATCTGTAGGAGAAGAAAGGCGGGGTAGGGGTCATCCCCAAAAAAGGTTGGAGGGAGGAGGTTAAGGAGGTTTTGTGGACAATGGGTTCAGACTTCCAGCAAGCATGAGTGAGCGTGTTAGGAGTGAATGAAGACAAATGGTTTTTGGGACCTGACAAGCTGTTGGAGTGTGAGCAGGGTAATATTTTGTGAAGGGATTCAGGAGACGGCCGACTTGTTGAAAAAAAAAAAAAAAAAAAAAATTCAGGAAAACCAGTTAGCCAGACTCAAGTCCTGGAAATGGGAAGTACGATGCCTGCACTTTAAAGGAGGGGTTTGGGATACTGGCAGTTTGGAGGAATGATTAAGCTGTCGTGTCTGAGTACTTCTGCAATGACAGTGATTGTGTGTGAGTGATGGTGAAATTGTTCAATAATGAAAGATTTTTCTTTCTTTTTGGGTCACCCTGCCTCAGTGGGAAACTGCCGACGTGTTAAAAAAAAATACAAAGGTCCTACATAACATGATAAAATGCTGGGAACAACCTCTCATTAAATTTCTGCAATGTCCCAAGAGGGACACTAAATACCCACACAGAATATTCTAACTACCACCTGCTACGGTTTCTGATGATTCTCTATATAGTATATATAAAACACACACAAAGTAAAACTGAGCATAAAATTTCAAAACTTTTAACTGCTGTCGAAAAATAAGCATTTTTACACAAGGTATAATTATTCTTTAAGCACTTAACATTCTATTAGTTAACATATATGCATAATAAGCAATAAGACAAAATCACATACACAATTTATTTCATGCATTAAAAGGGCTTTAATAAAGGATTAAGTGTCCTAAAAATATTACTCATTACTCCAAATACATAAATACATTTCAACATCAAATTTTTTTTTACTAAATTAAAATGTACAGTATTACTGTAGCAGAAATTAAAGCAAATAAATAGAAAGATTTCACTTTAAAAATAATAACCACACATGCAGTGGAATTGGTTTATCAAAGCTTCAACTATCACTGGACTCTTGTTTAGTCTTGTCTTAATTTATTCAAAATGCTACCAAAAATACCATTACATTCATCAACAAAAGACAGAAATCAAAATTACTTCCCCAGATCACGAATACATCAGTTGCCCCATACAATCAATGCTTTAAGCTAGACCATAAAGTAGATGTGCCAAGTATTTTATTACTCAAATTTTGCTTATGAAGTATTACTAAATATTCTAACAATAACATAGTTACTAAAGGGATAATTGTGGTCAAATTCTGGTTACTTGAACATAAAATTATAATATACAAAGGGAGTATTACTTAAATGCTGCAAAAACACACTGCAAAGTTACTAGAGTCTAGGCATACAGCAATATTAATAGCAAATATTAAAGTCACACACAGAAGCTCTGATTATATGTGTGACAAACCTCTGGGCTGAGGTACTGGAATATAGAATACAAAGGAGCAGACTCAACATCTCGAATCACTTGGCACTTCTCAACAGTTTCGTAGATGGTAGAGCGTTTAGCTGGATCCCGAGCACTAGCAGAATCTGGCTCATCACTCACCATGGGTTTCGTTTCCATTACACATTTCTCCTCCACCCCAGAACCCTCAAGATCCACCACCATATACGGAGTTGATGGCATACGTCTCGTGATGTTCATCAATGAACGTGCTGGCCGAATTTTTACCTCCTTTGCCTGTGGCTCATTTAGGTGTTCCAGACTGACTGAACGATCTCTGCTCCTGAGCATTTCTTCCCGAGGGCTTGAAGAACGTGGATCCACCGACTGCTCTAACTGTTCAAATGATGCTATTTTGGTCCTCAAAGTTGGGTCTCTCTGAGGGATCGTTTTGATCTCTCGTACTTTATCCTCTTCCCTATTCTCAATGCTAGTAAAGGATGCAAGTTTTCTGTGGAAATTAACATCTCTTTCTGGGGTTTTCTTCCTTATTGGTTGTGTCTCATAATCTTTAGCGGCAAATGAGGCTCGTTTTTCATAGAATTTTGCATCTCTTGTTGGAGTTATGGTACGGACTTTTGTGCACTCTGCATCCAGATTCTCGAATGATGCCACTTTATTGCGTAGGTTTGTATCACGGGTTGGAGTAATGCCTCGCACTCTAGGAGTCTCAATTTCGAGATTTTCAAAGGATTTAACTTTGTGGCGTAAAGAGTTTGACACATCAAGAGATCTTCTATTAGCAATTCTCTGTTCCTTCTCACTATGAGGTGATGGGTCTCGTGTTTCAAACATTGATCTTCTCTTCCCAACATCAACTCTGGGTGACTTCTCTCTCATTATAACCCTAGGCTCAGGACTTGATCTGAAGTCTTTCTCCATCTCCTTCGAAAAAAAGTTTAGCTTCTCCTCAACTTTGTTACTTTTGTTTGGACTTGGTGAACGGCCATTTACACAAATCTTTTCATCTTTTCTGTCATCATCCTTGGTATAACTTGTATTGCTGTTTAAGCTTGTGATGCTGGAAGTTCTCTTCTTGGCACTATTCTCAGCATACTGCTTGTAGCCAGCAATAGCCTTGTCATATGTATATTCATCTGTGTGGATTGTTGCAGCAGTGGAGTGAAAGACATCAGTGATCAGGCTAGATCCATGACCATTCAGGTGAGCATCCTCTTCCTTTGACACTCCAGTATCCAGAAGTGAATCATGTGCTTCTTTTTTGTCACCCTATGAAAAGAACAAGAATAATGATATCACTTAATATAACTTAACTACTACAATTACAATAAAATTACATGTTACCCAAAGAATTCCTTCAACTTTTGAGAAAATGTAGCACAGTATATGTTTCTTTGATATAATGTATAGTGTTAAATATGATTATGTCAGAGCCGAGATTTGTTTCGATTCAGTTGTTTTTTTTTTTTACACTAGACTTTTGTGTAGACATTACATTTTAAGGTTAGAATATTTGAATATGCATGGATGTAGTATAGATGATAAGGAAGAGTTAATTGTAAATACTATGAATGTAAAGATGCTAAGCAAAACAAAGCTGAAGGGGATACAAGAATTTCAATTGGAAGAAAAACTAGAATTAGGTCAAGTATATAGTTTTCGAGTGGTTGGTGCACTTGTTCAATACATATATGAAAGGGGATAAAAGAGGCTGTTGAGTATACCAGGTAAAGTGTATGGTAGAGTCACGGTTTCATGATGTACTTTACGTACAGTAAAATATTAACAGTATGTCAGATGTTGTTATAAACTGCCTAAAGCTAGTATTCTAACTGTAATTACAGTACACTAAAAATACCTCAGTAATTGCTAAAGGTAGTGTGTAATTCAGTAAGTACTAAAGGTAGCAATATCGAGCAGAAAAAGAAAAATTATTAAATCTAAAAGAATAAGTTACAAAGAAATGCCCTGGTACAAGAATAATTATGCTGTATTGTTTAATTATGTCCAGAAAGGAATTCACTTCCTAAGAATGTAGAATATAACTTTGGTATATCTGTGTCTAGCATTAGGAATAATATTAGGAGAGAAGTAAACAATGAAAATGATTGTTACAGGAATAGAGTTAGAAGTCTGAGAAGATCTATAACCCACTATGATACTTTATTATTTTTTTTTTTTATCACACTGGCTGATTCCCACCAAGGCAGGGTGGCCCGAAAAAGAAAAACTTTCACCATCATTCACTCCATCACTGTCTTGCCAGAAGGGTGCTTTACACTACAGTTTTTAAACTGCAACATTAACACCCCTCCTTCAGAGTGCAGGCACTGTACTTCCCATCTCCAGGACTCAAGTCCGGCCTGCCGGTTTCCCTGAACCCCTTCATAAATGTTACTTTGCTCACACTCCAACAGCACATCAAGTATTAAAAACCATTTGTCTCCATTCACTCCTATCAAACACGCTCACGCATGCCTGCTGGAAGTCCAAGCCCCTCGCACACCAAACCTCCTTTACCCCCTCCCTCCAACCTTTCCTAGGCCGACCCCTACCCCGCCTTCCTTCCACTACAGACTGATACACTCTTGAAGTTATTCTGTTTCGCTCCATTCTCTCCACATGTCCGAACCACCTCAACAACCCTTCCTCAGCCCTCTGGACAACAGTTTTGGTAATCCCGCACCTCTTCCTAACTTCCAAACTACAAATTCTCTGCATTATATTCACACCACACATTGCTCTAAGACATGACATCTCCACTGCCTCCAGCCTTCTCCTCGCTGCAACATTCATCACCCATGCTTCACACCCATATAAGAGCGTTGGTAAAACTATACTCTCATACATTCCCCTCTTTGCCTCCAAGGACAAAGTTCTTTGTCTCCACAGACTCCTAAGTGCACCACTCACCCTTTTCCCCTCATCAATTCTATGATTCACCTCATCTTTGATAGACCCATCCGCTGACATGTCCACTCCCAAATATCTGAATACATTCACCTCCTCCATACTCTCTCCCTCCAATCTGATATCCAATCTTTCATCACCTAATCTTTTTGTTATCCTCATAACCTTACTCTTTCCTGTATTCATTTTTAATTTTCTTCTTTTGCACACCCTACCAAATTCATCCACCAATCTCTGCAACTTCTCTTCAGAATCTCCCAAGAGCACAGTGTCATCAGCAAAGAGCAACTGTGACAACTCCCACTTTATGTGTGATTCTTTATCTTTTAACTCCACGCCTCTTGCCAAGACCCTCGCATTTACTTCTCTTACAACCCCATCTATAAATATATTAAACAACCACGGTGACATCACACATCCTTGTCTAAGGCCTACTTTTACTGGGAAATAATTTCCCTCTTTCCTACATACTCTAACTTGAGCCTCACTATCCTCGTAAAAACTCTTCACTGCTTTCAGTAACCTACCTCCTACACCATACACCTGCAACATCTGCCACATTGCCCCCCTATCCACCCTGTCATATGCCTTTTCCAAATCCATAAATGCCACAAAGACCTCTTTAGCCTTATCTAAATACTGTTCACTTATATGTTTCACTGTAAACACCTGGTCCACACACCCCCTACCTTTCCTAAAGCCTCCTTGTTCATCTGCTATCCTATTCTCCGTCTTACTCTTAATTCTTTCAATAATAACTCTACCATACACTTTGCCAGGTATACTCAACAGACTTATCCCCCTAAAATTTTTGCACTCTCTTTTATCCCCTTTGCCTTTATACAAAGGAACTATGCATGCTCTCTGCCAATCCCTAGGTACCTTACCCTCTTCCATACATTTATTAAATAATTGCACCAACCACTCCAAAACTATATCCCCACCTGCTTTTAACATTTCTATCTTTATCCCATCAATCCCGGCTGCCTTACCCCCTTTCATTTTACCTACTGCCTCACGAACTTCCCTCACACTCACAACTGGCTCTTCCTCACTCCTACAAGATGTTGTTCCTCCTTGCCCTATACACAAAATCACAACTATGATACTTATCTACATTAATGTAGATAAGTATGTTTATGGAGCAACTTGCAATGTGAACAGACTGACTGATGTTGTAGTGGCCAGGCTTAGGCTTGGTTACAAGTACTTCTGGCAGTTTGGGAGATACACAGATGATGATCAAACTAAATGCAAATTATGTGGTCAGGCATATGGTCACTGTTTTCAACACTATGTGCTTAACTGTCCACTTACTGAGGAATACAGTAGACAGTATAATAACCTATGTAAATATAAACCCAAATGTACACCTGTTAACGCTTTTAGGGCCTAGTTCCTGGGTCTTTTGTGTATTCACATCCTCTTGCGTTATCGTCCGCAGGACGGATATGGGGTGCACAATAAACTAGCCACTTTGGTGGAAAAAATCTAATAAAAAAATCTCTTCCTGACAAGACAATATCATACACAGTATAGGAGACACTTTTGTACTACATCAAGCCCTGCTTTGCAAAGTATATATCTAATTAAAAACAAATTTTATTTAAAAAGAAAACTTTTGTTTTTCTTTTTAAATAAAAACTTTTGTTTTTCTTTTTAAATAAAAACTTTTGTTTTTCTTGTTAGGTCACCCTGCCTCAGTGGGATACAGCCGATTTGTTGAAAAAAAATATTGCAACCTGCCCATGGCCATTACCCCCTTACTGGCTAGCTGACTTTTTTTAAATTGGCAGTTCCTAATTTAAAAAGTTATTCTATATCTAATGTAGTCAGTAATTTGAAGATCAGATCAAACAAATTTCACTGTACTGCACTGAAAATATTAATTCGCATTCAGATTTATTTATTTCAGCATGATACAATGTTTGTACAGAGATGAGTGTTATTTAGGTATGAATGCAGAAAGCCCCTTAGAATGCACAGCATTTTGGGCAACAGTATATTATGTATGTAATATTATGTATGTAATATTATGTATGTAATATTATGTATGTAATATTATGTATGTAATATTATGTATGTAATATTATATATGTAATGTACCCAGAGTGATACTCACCAAAGCTGAAGAAGTATCACTGATATTATCTTCAGCAAAGACCCCGTCACTGCCAGTGTCTGAGCCAGTACAAAAGCCAGCATCACTTTTGGCATCTTTGTTATCCTGATCTAAATCCTTAACGTCATTTTCTTCATGTGCATCGCTGAGGGAACTTGTACTCTTGGCAGATGATAGCCCAAGACCACTTAGGTCACTACTATCATCGTTGTGGACAACAAGGTTATATCTGCGTCCTCTTTTGCTCCTGTTGATGAATGAAAAAATATTTAAAAGATTGATACTACTAGAGGGACCAAAGCTATGAAACTGCAAGTGAAGTGAAGGCAGAACCTCAGAAGGATGGCTTATCTTTACAGAAAATATGGAAAAGTAGCAAACTTATTGAAGACTAGGTGTGCTGAGATAGGCTAAAATAAATTAACATTATCTTAAACACTGTGATAACTTTTAGAAGTGGTGCTGAATTATTTTTTTTTTTTTTGTTAATTTTTAAAGTTTTCTGGTGATGCTCATTGTGTAAATAAACAAACCCTAAGGGTCAGCATTATAATCATTACCATTCACAGATTATATAATAAAATTCATAGATACAATGTGAATTACTTTCAAAGGCTTCACCACCATATATAATGTTAACTTGTAAATGTCAATATAATAAAGTACGTAATGGTGTGTAAAGGTAGAAAGTTGAAAGTGAACATAGATAAGAGTAAGGTGATGAGGGTATCAAACGATTTAGATAAAGAAAAACTGGATATCACATTCGAGGGAGGGGGTATGGAAGAAGTGAATGTTTTCAGATATTTGGGAGTTGATTTGTCAGCGGATGGGTTTACGAAGGATGAGGTTAACCACAGAATTGATGAAAGAAAAAAGGTGAGTGGTACGCTGAGATATCTTTTTTTTTTTTTTCAACAAGTCAGCTGTCTCCCACCGAGGCAGGGTGACCCAAAAAGAAAGAAAATCCCTCCCAAAAAAATACTTTCATCATTCAACACTTTCACCCCACCCACACATAATCACTGTCTTTGCAGAGGCACCCAGATACAACAGTTTAGAAGCATATATAAAGATATATAACATACCCCTCCAAACTGCCAATATCCCAAACCCCTCCTTTAAGGAGGGGTTTGGGATATTGGTAGTTTGGAGGGACATCTAAACTGTCGAATCTGAGAACCTCTGTAAAGACAGTGATTATGTATGAGTGATGGTGAAAGTGTTGAATGATGAAAGTTTTTTTTTCTTTCTTTCTTTTTGGGTCACCTTGCCTCGGTGGGAAATGGCCAATGTGTTAAAAAAAAAAAAAAAAAGTTTTCCTTAGACTACTATTTGACTTGGTCTATATCCAAAAAATGAAATCTAGTTTGACCCATCAGACTTCTTGTAAGCAGGCTCCCTGTAGCATTTTGTTTCCCATCAAGGCATGACTCCCGTACTTTTGGGTTTGTGACTCATGTTGCCCAGAGCTCAAAACACAAGACCCTGGTCCATCCCCATTCCTTGGCAAACCTAGCTCTAACCATGGCTGCCCACTCTTTGAAACCTGACTCTGGTTATCTCTTCACTCTTCCTGGTGTAACCCTATAGCCAATAAACCACTTGCAGTCAGCTCTGCCCTCCCTGTATCCACTCAACTACTTAAACTCATCAGCTACCAAGCTAATCATTACTGCAGTAGGGACAAAGTGGTTTGTCAAATCAAGTACTACATACCAAGCCCAACACTAGTGAAAACATTCCTAACAGGATATCCTACTAATGCTTCCTAAAGAAATCAGATACGAGATGATGCTAGTGTTGGAATTCCAAGAGCATCTGTGTATGTTATGTTGTATTATCTTTTTTATTTGGGCTGTGTATGTATGTGACTCAACATTCTGATACTTACTTATCCTCCTGTATTTCACTGAAGGTTTTGCTCTTGCGCCGCATGCGGATTAACTCCTCCTCTTGTTCGTGTTTCTTAATTTCAATGGCGCGTATCAAAGCTTCTTCATTCCGTTTCCGACGTGAGCTCTTCCACTTGTCTAGGTTCTGAAAAGTGAGGTTTAAATTACTTCCAAATTGGGTATATCAAAAGAGTAACAGCTGTTAGAGTCTGAAATACAATTGACTAAACTATAAAAACAAAATTTTTTAATTTTCAATAATCCTTAAAGGCATTACAACCTTTGTGGCTATAATACCAGAAGTATATGCACCTCAACACTAAATTCTCATTAACCCTGAAAATTTGACAGTATATCCTCAATTTAATGAACCTCCATTTAACCGCTTCACTGTCCACAGCCCCAAAATTAAAAGCGCTCAGTATCCACAATTATAAAAAAAAATCTAAAATGGTAGAAAATAATTTTCTGAAGGTAACTTATAGTATTACACAGGTGCATAGTTAGAAATCTGGTTGCAATTTAGGCATTGGCGATGTCACCCACTTTGAGTCACATTTTACACTAATTTCACTGCACAATTAATAATAATAATAATAATAATAATAATAATAATAATAATAATAATATTAGTAGTAGGTTGGTAGACAGCAACCACCCAGGGAGGTACTACCGTCCTGCCAAGTGAGTGTAAAACGAAGCCTGTGATTGTTTTACATGATGGTAGGATTGCTGATGTCTTTTGTCTGTCTCATAAATATGCAAGATTACAGGCATGTCTTGCTACTTCTACTTACACTTAGGTCACACTACACATACATGTACACATTTATTTATACACACTCATCTGAGTTTTCTTTGATTTTATCTTAATAGTTCTTGGTCTTATTAATTTTCCTTTTATATCCATGGGGAAGTGGAATAAGAATCTTTCCTCCGTAAGCCATGCGTGTTGTAAAAGTCAACTAAAATGCCGGGAACAATGGGCTAGTAACCCCTTTTCCTGTAAAGATTACTAAAAAGAATAAGAAGAAGAAAATTGTCAAAGTGGGAAGTCTGAATGTGCGTGGATGTTGTGCAGATGATAAGAAAGAGATGATTGTGGATGTTATGAATGAGAAGAAGCTGGATGTCCTGGCTTTAAGTGAAACAAAGCTGAAGGGGGTGGGAGAGTTTCAGTGGAGAGGAATAAATGGGATTAGGTCAGGGGTTTCAAATAGAGTTAGAGCTAAAGAAGGAGTAGCAATAATGTTGAAGGATAAGCTATGGCAGGAAAAGAGGGACTATAAATGTATTAATTCAAGGATTATGTGGAGTAAAATAAAGATTGGATGTGAAAAGTGGGTTATAATAAGCGTGTATGCACCTGGAGAAGAGAGAAGTGTAGAGGAGAGAGAGAGATTTTGGGAAATGTTGAGTGAATGCGTGGGGAGTTTTGAATCAAGTGTGAGAGTAATGGTGGTTGGGGATTTTAATGCTAAAGTGGGTAAAAATGTTATGGAGGGAGTAGTAGGTAAATTTGGGGTGCCAGGGGTAAATGTAAATGGGGAGCCTTTAATTGAGCTATGTGTAGAAAGAAATTTGGTAATAAGTAATACATATTTTATGAAAAAGAGGATAAATAAATATACAAGGTATGATGTAGCACGTAATGAAAGTAGTTTATTAGATTATGTATTGGTGGATAAAAGGTTGATGGGTAGGCTCCAGGATGTACATGTTTATAGAGGGGCAACTGATATATCGGATCATTATTTAGTTGTAGCTACAGTTAGAGTAAGAGGTAGATGGGAAAAGAGGAAGGTGGCAACAACAAGTAAGAGGGAAGTGAAAGTGTATAAACTAAGGGAGGAGGAAGTTCGGGTGAGATATAAGCGACTATTGGCAGAAAGGTGGGCTAGTGCAAAGATGAGTAGTGGGGGGTTGAAGAGGGTTGGAATAGTTTTAAAAATGCAGTATTAGAATGTGGGGCAGAAGTTTGTGGTTATAGGAGGGTGGGGGCAGGAGGAAAGAGGAGTGATTGGTGGAATGATGAAGTAAAGGGTGTGATAAAAGAGAAAAAGGTAGCTTATGAGAGGTTTTTACAAAGCAGAAGTGTTATAAGAAGAGCAGAGTATATGGAGAGTAAAAGAAAGGTAAAGAGAGTGGTGAGAGAGTGCAAAAGGAGAGCAGATGATAGAGTGGGAGAGGCACTGTCAAGAAATTTTAATGAAAATAAGAAAAAATTTTGGAGTGAGTTAAACAAGTTAAGAAAGCCTAGGGAAAATATGGATTTGTCAGTTAAAAACAGAGTAGGGGAGTTAGTAGATGGGGAGATGGAGGTATTGGGTAGATGGCGAGAATATTTTGAGGAACTTTTAAATGTTAAGGAAGAAAGGGAGGCAGTAATTTCATGCACTGGTCAGGGAGGTATACCATCTTTTAGGAGTGAAGAAGAGCAGAATGTAAGTGTGGGGGAGGTACGTGAGGCATTACGTAAAATGAAAGGGGGTAAAGCAGCTGGAACTGATGGGATCATGACAGAAATGTTAAAAGCAGGGGGGGATATAGTGTTGGAGTGGTTGGTACTTTTGTTTAATAAATGTATGAAAGAGGGGAAGGTACCTAGGGATTGGCAGAGAGCATGTATAGTCCCTTTATATAAAGGGAAAGGGGACAAAAGAGACTGTAAAAATTATAGAGGAATAAGCTTACTGAGTATACCAGGAAAAGTGTACGGTAGGGTTATAATTGAAAGAATTAGAGGTAAGACAGAATGTAGGATTGCGGATGAGCAAGGAGGTTTTAGAGTGGGTAGGGGATGTGTAGATCAGGTGTTTACATTGAAGCATATATGTGAACAGTATTTAGATAAAGATAGGGAAGTTTTTATTGCATTTATGGATTTAGAAAAGGCATATGATAGAGTGGATAGAGGAGCAATGTGGCAGATGTTGCAAGTATATGGAATAGGTGGTAAGTTATTAAATGCTGTAAAGAGTTTTTATGAGGATAGTGAGGCTCAGGTTAGGGTGTGTAGAAGAGAGGGAGACTACTTCCCGGTAAAAGTAGGTCTTAGACAGGGATGTGTAATGTCACCATGGTTGTTTAATATATTTATAGATGGGGTTGTAAAGGAAGTAAATGCTAGGGTGTTTGGGAGAGGGGTGGGATTAAATTATGGGGAATCAAATTCAAAATGGGAATTGACACAGTTACTTTTTGCTGATGATACTGTGCTTATGGGAGATTCTAAAGAAAAATTGCAAAGGTTAGTGGATGAGTTTGGGAATGTGTGTAAAGGTAGAAAGTTGAAAGTGAACATAGAAAAGAGTAAGGTGATGAGGGTGTCAAATGATTTAGATAAAGAAAAATTGGATATCAAATTGGGGAGGAGGAGTATGGAAGAAGTGAATGTTTTCAGATACTTGGGAGTTGACGTGTCGGCGGATGGATTTATGAAGGATGAGGTTAATCATAGAATTGATGAGGGAAAAAAGGTGAGTGGTGCGTTGAGGTATATGTGGAGTCAAAAAACGTTATCTATGGAGGCAAAGAAGGGAATGTATGAAAGTATAGTAGTACCAACACTCTTATATGGGTGTGAAGCTTGGGTGGTAAATGCAGCAGCGAGGAGACGGTTGGAGGCAGCGGAGATGTCCTGTTTAAGGGCAATGTGTGGTGTAAATATTATGCAGAAAATTCGGAGTGTGGAAATTAGGAGAAGGTGTGGAGTTAATAAAAGTATTAGTCAGAGGGCAGAAGAGGGGTTGTTGAGGTGGTTTGGTCATTTAGAGAGAATGGATCACAGTAGAATGACATGGAAAGCATATAAATCTATAGGGGAAGGAAAGGGCGGGGTAGGGGTCGTCCTCGAAAGGGTTGGAGAGAGGGGGTAAAGGAGGTTTTGTGGGTAAGGGGCTTGGACTTCCAGCAAGCGTGCGTGAGCGTGTTAGATAGGAGTGAATGGAGACGAATGGTACTTGGGACCTGACGATCTGTTGGAGTGTGAGCAGGGTAATATTTAGTGAAGGGATTCAGGGAAACCGGTTATTTTCATATAGTCGGACTTGAGTCCTGGAAATGGGAAGTACAATGCCTGCACTTTAAAGGAGGGGTTTGGGATATTGGCAGTTTGGAGGGATATGTTGTGTATCTTTATATGTTTATGCTTCTAGACTGTTGTATTCTGAGCACCTCTGCAAAAACAGTGATAATGTGCGAGTGTGGTGAAAGTGTTGAATGATGATGAAAGTATTTTCTTTTTGGGGATTTTCTTTCTTTTTTGGGTCACCCTGCCTCGGTGGGAGACGGCCGACTTGTTGAAAAAAAAAAAAAAAAAAAAAATAATAATAATATAATAATAATATCTTTATTTACTACAAGTACATGTACATGGTATACAGGCCTAGCTGACATCAACGACATACAGTGGACCCTCGACTAACACTATTAATCCGTTCCTGAGAGCTTATCGTTAGTCAAAATTATCGTTAGTCAAGTTAATTTTCCCCATAAGAAATAATGGAAATCAAATTAATCCGTGTAGGACACCCCAAAGTATGAAAAAAAATTGTTTTTACCACATGAAATATTAATTTTAATACACACAAATTGAAGAAGACATGCACAGTTACATGACACTTACCTTTATTGAAGATCTGGTGATGATTGTTGGGATGGGAGGAGGGGAGTGTTGATGGTCTTAGTGTTTAGAAGGGGAATCCCCTTCCATTAGGACTTGAGGTGGCAAGTCCTTTTCCGGGGTTACTTCCCTTCCCTTTAAATCTCTCAAACCAATCTTTGCTGGCCTTAAATTCACTCACATCACCACTAGTTGCTGGCATTTTTTTCATTAAATCGTCATGCAACTTCCTAGCCTTTTCACATATGATCGCTTGAGAGATGCTATCTCCTGCTATCTGTTTTTCGTTTATCCACACCAATAACAGTCTCTCAACATCTTCAAGTACTTGCGATCTCAGTTTCAAAAACATAGTTGCACCTTTGGCAAGAACAGCTTCCTTGATTGCCGTTTTCTTGGCCACAATAGTAGCGATGGTTGATTGGGGTTTTGTGTACAACCTGGCCAGCTCGGAGACACGCACTCCACTTTCATACTTGGCAATGATCTCTTTCTTCATATCCATAGTAATTCTCACCCTT